TCTTTTATGTTCTCATCACTTCATACAACCTGATCTTGTAAAATTTTGCAGCAAGAAGTTTCAAGTTGCCGCAAGATCTTACACAATTTTAAGACTAGATCTTGTCACTAGATTTCGTAAGAAAACGGCGAATCTTACATGATCCTGTAAGTTAAGTTCACGTGGGTACTGCAAAGACCATACTTTAACCAACTATCGATGTACCAGCTGTCCGATTAGATTAACTGAACAAGATCCACTAAAAATCTTATTTTTTCTAGTTTTGGTTCTATGTCTGACACAATGGCTGGCTTAACTATTTTAATCATATTTTTGGGTACACTAACGATTCCGGGTATAGATGCAGGTAAGAGATTTGTCTTCTTGCATTATATTACATTTTTAACAACCAAAAAGTGTCTCTTTTTGATCTAAATACTCTATTTAATACCTGTGTCCAAACAAATTTGAATTCTTTAGGTTTTCTTTATTTTATTAGTAGAAATTAGCTTACCAGCGCTAAATCTATCATTATGTATTAAGTTCAGCATCTTTTTTCTAGCTTGTAGCGCATTGTATGATCAATGTGGTGGCAACGACTGGAAAGGTCCGAAAGAATGTTGTTCTAATACAAAATGTATCAAGCAGAATGAATATTACTCTCAATGTCTTCCGGGGGATGGAGGCGCGAGCACAACACAAGCAACGACAAATAAACCAACTGGACCCACTGACTCATCTCGTGCTAATGGTAAGACAACTCGCTATTGGGATTGTTGTAAGGCCTCTTGTGGATGGGCCGGAAAAGCTATGGTATCATCGCCTGTTCAGACATGTCAAGCAAATGGCGTTGCAGCTGTTGGCATCAATGAACAAAGTGGATGTAATGGTGGTAATGCTTACATGTGCAATAATCAACAACCGTGGGCTGTTAATGATAAGTTGTCATACGGATTTGCTGCCGCTTATATCACAGGTCAGAAATTACTATCAACAATAAACCTTTTTTTTTTGACAAGATGTATGGCATGGTCAGCTACCCTAGTAGATGTAGTTAAAGCCCCTCCCCTCAGCTTTAATGATTCTTGGTCGATAAATCGATTTCTAGATAATTATGTGGGGAGATAGCCCTAAGTGCCTACTTTCAGAATGTATATGATTTGACCCTATAATGATGGTTTTTGAGTGGGTTTTAGAGGTTTTCTAGAGGTCCTCTAGAGTATCTCTAAAAAAACCAAGAGCACCGAGCACCGGTTGCTTTTTGAATAACTTTTGATAGAAAGGAGCTAGAGAGCTTCGGTTTTTGCCATTCGTAAGAGAAGATCTGGAAGCATGTTTTAATAACCAATATCTTTTCCAGAACAGTTCTGTGAAATGGGTTTTCAAGGAGATCTTCGAAAAACTAGGTCGTATGTAAAAATTTCTGAATACGACTGTATTGATTATTTTTCATGGTCTGATAGCCCGAGACGTCCTCTTGAAAATGGGAGTCAAACAAGGCCTTGATTTTCCGCGACTCGGCCATTGTGTTGGATTTCCTACGAGTCCCAGGACTGGCATCTGGTGACTATTGATAACCTTGAAAACGAATAGACTATGGGTAATCAATCATGCTAAGTCTCGTGGCAATATCTGCTTTTAGAAAAAGTTCTTAAAATCTAGCCAAAGAGGAGTTTTACGAAAATTGGGTGTTTCAGGCTACTATCACCTCTTATTTAAAAATTCACTATTCACTCAATAAACATCAGAACGAGTTCAAAACTTCAGGATATAGCTAATTTTGGCTGTTAAACGTGATTATAGGATCGAAAAAATCGAAAAAGTATAAATTTGTTAGTGGGTTTTCT